TGTGTCTGTCTGACTCTCAGCTGTCTGTCTCTTACCTGTCCGTTCTCCTTAACCATGATGTTGGAGTTATGTCTGTCTCCGATTCCCAGGATGAACGTGGCCACACAGTAACCTGCACACGACCTGGTGAAGAGGTCGATGGCTCGGTCATACCTGAAAGACAGACAGGAGGTGAGACAGGATGACAGACAGGCACAGAGACAGGCAGATGATCAGAGAGCAGACAGACAGGTACTGACGCCTCTCCTCGGTTCTTTTCTTTGATCCAGTGGTGCAGTGTGTTGGAGTTGAACTGCAGCGCCCCCTTCAGGCCTCCTTTACACTGGATCTGCATGATGGTGAAACTGTTCTTCACCACCTCGATCAGACCGACACAGTCTCCAATAGACAGGCACCCGTACGGCAGCATGCTGACACACAAACACACAAACACACAAACACACACTCAGTTAGTCAGGTGTGGGATGATGTCACAATCTGTGATAATGTCAGAGTTTATCACCGAAGGTCCAGGCCCTGATTCTGCCAGATGTTCTCCATGATCTTAATGATCTGCAGAGTCAACATGTCCTGACGCAGGTCTGAAACACACAGACCACACACTCCATTACCCACAACCCCCTGCAGCATTCTGCACTCATCAAGGTTAGCATTCTCCATCGGAGGAAGAGTAATTGTCAGCAGAGTAAAATACCGTCTCCGTTCTTAAAGATGATTTCGTTGTTTGTGAAAAGCAGCTCGGACATGATATCAGGGTTCTCCCAGTTCAACCACAGGGGGCGCTTTGCTGAGGACATGATCCGACACTCCTCCAGCCTAAAGACACACACATTTTATTTGACCTTTGACCCCTGAATGATCACAGTTCATACATTCGATCTATCATTTTTTTTCTCGATAAGATCATCAGGTCATATCAGAACATTTCTGTTGATTTAAACTGAAAACGGTCTGATTTTCATGAATTCATGACGTCCACAGTTCACATCCAAAAACCCTCTGTAGACATCCCTGATAAATCTGTTCGTTGGTTTCTTGGTTGGTTTTTGATCGGGTGGTTATTGTTTGTTTGGTTAGTTGTTTACCTGAGGTTTCCCAGCTGGTGAACAGGGTTCAGAGGAGACACGAATCCCTGCAGAGCCTCCATATAATCGGGTCGAGACATGTGTTCGACCAGGAACTTCATCTGGGTCTGACAACCAATCACAGCCCAGCAACACATCACAATTAACCAATCACAGTTCACAGACACATGTAACTCTACAGAGAAACAAAGACAGTTTGTACTTTCTGTGTCTCGTCCTTCTTTTCTTGTTTCAATGTGTCGGTCAGGTTCACCAACTTGTCCATGGCCTCCACCTGAACACACACAGTTGTTATTGGCAGAAGCTTGACATTCAGTCTGAGTTTAAACAGAACTGAGCCATCGTTGACCAATTAGAGCAGAAATACACAGCGACTTCATGTGTTGAGGTGCTCACCTGTCTGTTCAAATGTTTCAGGTACATCCCACAGGCTCTGCAGAAAGCTTCTAGCAGCAGACCGAAACGACGAGACACCGTCTTATTGTGCATCTCTGACCTTTGAAAACAAAGGAAATGAGGTCACCACTCAGGTGAACAGGAAACACATAAACACATACCCCCCCCCCCCCCCCCCCCCCCTTACTCCTGAGGTCATGTGACTTACTTGAGATGCCAGAAGAAAAAGTGACCTATTCTCTGATTGGTCAGAGCTTTCTTGATCAGGAAACGTGCCAGAGGATTGTCCAGGTACATCTCATACTTCAACACCTGCAGAGTTTTCTCACAGTCAGTTTGGTCAAATCAAACAGAACATTGGTGAATAAAACATGAATCATCAACAGTGAACATTGTGTCTGATTATACAGATACAGCCAGGACACCGTCAAAGTCTCACAAACAATCAAGTGAAGTATCTCAGGCAGGTCGGTGTCTGTAGTAATGCAGCTGCTGTACCAGGACTGTGAAATAGGAGTTGAGCCACAAGGCTTTAGATTTACCAGTCGCTTTATGTTCCAACTCTCATCTGTGGTCCTCAGCTCTGGGTAATGACTGGAAGAATGAGATCGCAAATACAAGTGGCCGAAATCAGCCTTTTTTTGGGGTCTGGCTGGACTCAGTCATAGAGACAGGGTAACGAGGAAGGACATTCAGAGGGAGTTCAGAGTAGAACAGGAAGGTTGAGGTGGTTCAGGCATCTAATCAGAATCCTCCTGGGTGCCTTTCATTGGACGTTTACTAAGCATGTCCAACAGGAAGGAGAGCCAGGACTCACTGGAGAAACTACACATCTCATTCGGCCCTCACCTCAGTATCCCCCGGGGCTGACAACAGCAGGGGGAGAGGAAAGTTTGGAAGAAACAAAGAAGACACAATGGATGGTGCGATTAATTTTCTGCTCCTCCCCTCACCAAGCTGCAAGGTGTTTTGGGTAACTGGTGGTCACAGAGGTGCTGATGTGCGCACTTCACACATGCAATAAGCAGGCTGACTGGTTGATTCAGCTTCTGTGCAGACTCAAGTTTCAGAGGAAGGTGAAAAAAACCAAGAAATTCAATATTCAAGTAAAAGAGAAACTAGCACAAAACAGCCAGAGTGACGTTGGACACGTATGATCACAGTTTCAGGTTTGTTCTCAACTGACGTCATCTCTGTTTATTTCCTCAGAATCTCACAGGTGACGTTAGTCCTCAGAAACTAAAACCAGAACTTAGATACAGGAGGCGTGAACGTACCTGAACCAGCTGCAGCAGGTACTGCGACAGCTTGTCGTCTGTCAGGCCTTTCACCAGACAGCGCAGAGCTAACTCTCTGACCATTGGGTCAGGAAAGTTACAGTCCAACAACTCGAGAGCCGACTCTGGCTCCATCAGGGGCCACTCCTTCAACAAACAGTACATCTGAGGGAGGGAGGAGGGGGAGGAGGGGGAGGAGGGGGAGGAGAAGCAGGTGATGGACGAACCCTAACGCAATGACAAATTTAAAGAATCTGTCCTGACAGTTAAAACGTCTCCTACCTGTGATACTTCGTCTCTGGAGTTCCACTTGACGGACATAAGAAGCTTCGGAAGAGACTCTGGGATTTTTACACAGTAATGTCTGCATATAGACAGGTAGAAAGATGGTAAGACAGACAGGTAGAGACAGATCCCTCACCTGTGTCTCTCTTACCTATTTCTATCTCCCCTCTCTCTCACCTGTATCCCCCTCACCTGTGTCTTTCCCCTGTGTCTCTCATCAGTGTCCCCCTCACCTGTGTCTCTCACCTGTGTCTCTCTCACCTGTGTCCCCCTCACTTGTGTCTCTCACCTGTGTCCCCCTCACCTGTGTCTCTTACCTGTGTCTCTCTTACCTGTGTCCCCCTCACCTGTGTCAGTCTTACCTGTGTCCCTCTCACCTGTTTCCCCCTCACCTGTGTCTTTCCCCTGTCTCTCATATGTGTCCCCCTCACCTGTGTATCTCATCTGTGTCCCTCTCCCCTGTGTCCCCCTCCCCTGTGTCCCCCTCACCTGTGTCTCCAGAGGAAGTCCTTCTCCTGCTCTGAGAGCTCGTACAGAGGATCTTTGGAACAAAGACAACGGAGCTGCTCAGCCTCGCCTGAGGAAACACTGCTGTCACAGGCCAGACGACTGCTCTGAGAGAGAGACAGGTATTTATTGTCTGTAGCAGTAGTTTATATGTTTATGTATATATTGACCTGTCTGTAGCAGTAGTATAT